CAAAATCCCATAACCTCAGGGCGAAAAGAAGTCTTACACCTATCAAGACTATATACAATGTATATCTGTAATATTAAGAACAAAAAAACTGAAATTAATTTGGTAATAAACTTGTAATTGATCTAGAAATTTGAACCACAGTATCTAGAGTAAATTATATCCTAAGGAGTTGGTATTCCATATTTTACACAATTTTCATTCTGAATAAAAAAAAAAAATATAGTCATTTTCTGTTATTTTCATGGTATGTATACTAGAACATGCTTGTTCAATTCGTTTAATTTAAAACAAAAAATACCACAAGAATTTTCACCTCCGTTCTGCTTTCAAACATCAAACTTACAATTACGAATGAGGTAATAAAAACAACACCTGTGTAAATACAAAAAACCCATGAATATCTTTTTAAAATGCTTTGGTGCAAGAAATCTTTAAGTTAATGCAGTTGAACTCTGAAATGAATAAAATTTGTTGATAAATATCACGACTATTCTAAGAAATATAAAAAGAAGACAATCTTTGTTATGGTTCCTAGTTGTTATACGTCCAATAATATCTTAAGCAGATGTTATTCTAAATTTTTTTTATATACATTTTAATTGTTCGCTTGTTTGTGAAATCGGAAGTTTGCTCCCAAAAATTGCTTGGAATAATTTCGCAGATCTAGAACTTTTTTTATTTATTTTGGCTTACTTTCTTTCTTTTTTATTGATGAATTGCTGGTAAAGTGCAAATGATGTGGATATATTTTAATTGATCCAAAAATAAAATAAAGAAAAATAGAAGCATTTTAGTACCTTTACCTATTATATTTTTTTATTATAATAGTTTCAAAGCATCTATTCCAGTGAAATAAATAAAAGGGTTTTATCAGTTACAGTAAGATTGAATTATGGTTATTATGCATGTATCGGTTAAAAAAATATACAGACGGTTGCACTCTCAGACTAATGTAATAGAACTCACTTTCAGGATTCAGCCATCATGAGGCTTTTAACTTTGATTGTACCTCTTTCAAAAATTTAAGGCTGATCAAACATTCCGAAAAAAAATGTCACATGCAATATCCAAATCATCAATGAGGATAATAATGTATTATTCCAAGGTCTAAGATTGGGTCGATGTATTTTTTTTTCACATTCATTTATACTGGATTCAGTGTATTTCTTTTTGATGCAGTGACTGTTTCCTTATTTTAATTAGTGATATCCCCTTGCAAGGTTATATAATTAATATAAGAAGTGTATCCACTTCGGAGGTGATTTTCTTTAACAACTACAGCTGATCATTCAAAAAATGAAAGTTATTTGCAGTAATTCCAAAGTAGGCATCCAAAGATGTATCATCTATGCAAAAACTGTTCAGGGTATGACAAAGACCTACTTATGGACATCTACAATTCTACTTGATCTCTCATCCAGTCTCTCTTGTTCACATGCAGAGACAGAATCATTCATACTTGATAGCGCATCATAACTGTCAAAATGCGATCGCATTTTATCCAAATTTATCTACTTGTGGATGTTAAAACCCAATGAGATATATTAAACTGTATGCTCAACCCGGAAAATGCAGTTTACTTGGAACATTCGAAACGATACTGCACATCTGCAATTTTAGAGAACTTTTCCATAAGTTCTTAAATCCAAAATGAAGAGTAAACTTGTAGTATACTTTAAGCCTTCATAGGAAACAAAATCCTGTTTGAGCTAATAATTCCGAAACCTTAGTTCACATCTAAGTTAATGACCAATTACACAAGAAAATATTTTGTTCCACCAAGTAGATTTTCTATAACAAAGTATATATTTTTGAACCATGATATTCAAGCCTCTTGAGCCCCCTGGGGCTGAACGCACAGCTAGAAAAAATTCAGATCTGCAAATCGTCAAAGGAATAAATTTGGATACAATATTCTAAAATTAAGGAGAATTTGGACAAGAAAGTCTATTATGCGAATGACAGATAGACGGACGAGGAAAACAACAATATATCTGATCTCCATAGAAAATATTGTTCTGAAAATACAGGCTTTAACTAATTCAAGATGTGACATAATTATTTCAATATAAGTAGAACTTTTAACGTAAAAAAATAAGTAAAGGTATTCTAAAAAATTTTCTTCTTTGTTGTATTTTTAAGGCTTTCTGAAAACTATATAAATTGAATGAATAATATTATTAAGTGCAGTTTTATAATATTTCTATCCACTGTGTTGACACTTGAACAAATATTCAGAAATAGATCATAAAGATACGACAATTTTTAAGCCATGGAAGCTTACAAAGTATGTTAATGGTTTAACTTCAAAAATGTTTTATTTTCACAGCAAGCTTTCCTTTACATTTCCCATAAGCCAATGGAGATTAACTCAGCGACAGCAAATTCATCTTTTTTTGTGGAAAAAAAAATATAAATGGAAGTATTGGATTTTGATCTGAGGGCACTAATAACTAAGCTGAGATGAAGATTTTATGGCTATGATGTGGAAAAAAGAAAGAAATGACAGCTTTTTCTGAGTATTCATTAACAAATACAGATTCTTCATTAGTTTCGGGGCTTTTTAAAAAAATCAATTTGTGTAAATCAAAAATGGAAAAATAAGAGACTAATAGAGTAATAGATCTTTATTCGAATATTTTTCCCTTGAATATATTGCTTTTGATCGAGTTGAAATGGGGATAAAGTCATAGGTGTTTGCCCTTTTGTCCTTTTGTGTGTTTCTACTTGCAAAATATCTCAAAATTGTGAATATATTTCAATGATGTCAGCTGGAGGTATATATGTCCTTGGTGAGAGAAGAATCTATCAATTAAAATTTGAAATGTATTGTGGTGTCAAATCTCCTGAGGACTGTTGCGTCAGGCTAAAAATCTTTTTAAAAAATAAAAATAGAGGTACTGTGAGCACTGAAGGTCACAAAATGATACACCCGGTCTGTGGCAACTCACTTTGAAAAAATTACGCAGTTTGAAAGTTTTTTTAAAGTGCGTTAAGAGTGTACATCAACATTTTTACCGTGTAGACATTTAACACACTTTGAAAAAATATGTATAAAACAAAAATTCTGGACTTAGATTTTGGTCCTTGTAATAAACATTATTTTGTTATATTTCTTTAAAAAAAAACTGTTGGATTGATCTACCCTCTTCAAGAAGAGGAGGATTTATTTTTTTGAGAAAAAGTTATTAGCGAAAATGTTAGGTGAGTGAGTACTACTATCAAATAAATGAGTCAACCATTGTTTCATATATGTTCACAATAGACAGAGAGATAGATAGATGAATATGAAAGATTGAGAGAGAGAGAGAGAAAAAATTTCATGTTATGGAAAAAATAATTGCTCTCTTTTCCCTAAGTAAAATGCGATGCTTTAAGTCACATACTGACCCCTACATCCACTGAACTTATATGAAATAAAAAATAAACGAAATTGTGCTATTAAACAATCATTCCTCAATTTTTTCTAAAAGACCCATTTCCATTTTATAACATTTACGAGAACCTTTGGGAACAGGACAACTCCTAAATTTTTTTAAACGTCTGTATCTCAGATCCTGAAAGACGTCGTCACCAAAAAGTCATCCAACCAGGTTCAAATAATGATTTATCATACATAAAATTTGCAAGAATATTGACCAGACCGTGCATTTTTTTTCAAAGTACGTTAATATGGTCGATAACAACGCATTTTGATAAGAAATATTACTCTTTCAAATTGCGTGAACTTGGTCCCCAATTTAACACGCTTTGAAAAAATTTTCAAAGTGCTTTGTAACACCGCTCCCATATGAGTATAATAGCAAAGTCCTTTTTTGCTATGGGAAACTCTAAATATCTGTCCGATCAGAACATAAAATAGAAGGTGCACAATGGCACTATGTAATAAAGATTCTGTGAAAGTCTTATTAGGTTTATTGAGTGGTATAGGAGGAGTAAAATATTAATACGTAATGATATGATATGATCTTTTTTACCATGTAACTTTGCAGGTCTCGGCTTCGAGCTAAGGAGGATCAAAGATGTTATAATGAATTATTTTAAAAGTCTGTATGGTAGCCTTCTTCTTAACCCATGATCATTTCGCATAAACTGTTTTAATTCTTAGTCACATCCTTTGAGTCCAATGCAGGCCCTATAACGATAAATTGTAAATACATAATCATAACAACTTACACATTCTTCTCCTTGACTTTTTACTCAAAGATTGTTCACAGGATGATAACTCTCAGTCAAATTTTTGAAATTCATTACCTCTGGGTTCGAGTGCCTGACGTATGGCGTGGCCAATTTTATGGTATAATTATGCAACATCGAATATATCGCAGACAATCTCCTTCTTGACATCTAGCAGACAAACTCTTGACACAAATAAAACAATGTGTTTTTTGTACCAAGCTTGTGAAAAATCGTTTTCCTGATGTAAAGGGATTGATATCATCTGGACAGATCTCTTATCTCATTTGCCAAGGTTTTAATATAATTAAATCTGTATATAATTGTTAACAATACAGTTCTTTTTTTCTAACAAAAGACTTAAGGAAAACGATTAGTATTTTTAACAAATTATTACTGGGAAAACGCTAGATACTCGGACGGTAGATACTCAGACGATAAATACTCAGACGTTAGAAACTCAGAGGTAGGATACTCAGAAGTTAGATACACAGACGCTACATAGGGAGACGTTAGAAACTCAGAGGTTAGATACCCAGACATTAGATATTCAGACGGTAGCTATTCAGAGGTTAGATACTCAGACGTAAGATATTTAGACGGTAGATATTCAGAGGTTAGATACTCAGACGGTAGATATTCAGACTTTAGATATTCAGACGTTAGATTCTCAGAGGTTAGATACTCAGACGAAAGTTATTCAGGGGTTAAATACTCAGAGGTTAGATACTTAGAAGATAGATACTCAGAAGTTAGATACTCAGACGTTAGCTACTCAGACGATAATTATTCATAGGTAAGATACTAAGACGTTAGATACTCAGATGCTAGATACTCAAATGTTAGATACACAGACGTTAGATACTCAGACGTTAAAAATTCAGAGGTTAGATACTCAGGCATATAGATACTCATACGTTAGATACTCAGAGATTGATACTCAGAGGTTAGATACTCAGATGTTAGCTACACGGAGGTCAGATACTCAGACGTTAGATTCCCAGACGATAGATATTCAGATGTTAGATACTCAGAGGTTAGATTCTCAGATGTTAGATACTCAGAGGTTAGATTCTCAGATGTTAGATACTCAGAGGTTAGATTCTCAGACGGTAGATACTTAGAGGTTAGATACTCAGACGGTAGATACTCAGAGGTTCTACATGCCCCATGGGCTGTCATAGCAAGTATCCAGTGTCATTTTTGCAAAAATCAAATGGAATATTGAAAGAAAAAAGCGTGGGGTTATTGTCTGAGTGATTATTTATAGCAGAAAAGAAGTGTAAGAAACTCCGTGCTCATGAAACAATTATTCAGTACTGTTGGATGTGAAATTCAATTAAAAACAATGTCAAGATAACTGTAAGAAAGGTATTTCTTTTTTACGTAGGTCATAAATTTAACCAGAACAGCAGGAGATATATTATGTTGACATACTAGAGTACATGTATATATGTAGATAGTATGTTGAATTATTCAGTACATTAAGGTGATTGTAAAAGCCTATGTGGGTCCTGTTGCACCAAAGCGCAAAAAATCCAAATATTTACAAAAGATAAAAACAAAGCTCATTGTAACTGTAATTCATAGGTATCAAGAGAAATTGTTTTATCATTTCAAATGAAAGCAGTTGTCTTATTTTTTCCGTTAGTTTTCATTACATTTTGAATTCTTTATTTAAAAAAAATATTTATCTACTTATCTATTAAGAACTCAAATTAAAGGATTTTTTATGATAGTTACACTAATAAAAAGGGGCTTAATGAGAAAAGTTAGTGACCCAGAATCAAGTTCATTTTTTCATGTCAATGTTTTTTTCCTTGTCTGTTTCATTTGATGTTTATATTTTTATTTTGAAAATATACCTGCATTTTAAAAGGTGACGATATTAACTCCACAAACATTAAATTTCGAGCTTTAATGCTTCTTTTGAATATCTTGAATATACTTTAATTTCCTTACTGATGAAAATAACTTATCGCATGGATAATTCTTGATCATTTTTGCTAAGGTTTGCCCTTTTGATGTCACTTATGAAAAGATTTACAAGAACCTCCTAAATTAAAATGCTTGGTATGTGTGTGTCGTTTCTACATTTTTGTAACTTTTGTATTTTGTAATCCCCTTTTCCATCCAAGGACTTGAGCCATTTTTAAAAAAAATACAAATTAATTGTTCATTTCCAAGGGTATTTTGTGTCAATTTCGATTGAAATAGCCCAGGGGCTTTAGAAAAGTCAAATTTTTTAAAATGACAAAAGTGAGAGAAAAAAAGAGGGAAAGACGTTTCGTGTGAATGTTACCTAAATTCTAAAATAAAGTGTATATTCATGTGACAATTCTGTGCAGTTAAGTTAGTCGTACTTCACCTTACGGAACACGTTTATCGATAAAGTAAAATGAAGAATACTTCATTTTCTTTTGATGATGACAAACTCCTCCCTAATGATAGTTATGAGGACTACAGTGCTATCGAAATGTTCTATCAATATGTGAAAACATGGAAAAAATATGTAGATGGACATTTCTATTTTATTTTTGGAATACTAACAGTATTTTCAAACTTCGGACTAATTTACGGCATACTAGACAAGAAGTGCGTCACCCCTACTACAGTACTGTTACTTTGTCTAGCAGTGTCCATTTCCGTGAGCTGCGTGGCCACATTACCGAACTCCGTGTATCTGATGATGTGGGGTGACGAAAGCAACCATCCCCCGGACTGGTGGTGTAGTGTGTTTGGTATATCTGACACGATAGACGGCATTGCTGTGACATTTAGTAACTGGACGACCGTAAGTCTTGCTGTGCAGAGGTGCATTGTGGTTTTACATCCTTTCAAAGCGGCTATTTTGCTTACATTGAAGCGTGTACTGACAACACAGTTTTGTATTTTTACAGTGTGTGTTCTTCTTCAAGGTTATACATGGATAACTTTGGATATACTTAATGCAGAAATGTCTACCATCGCATTGACATATCACTCCTGTCTTTTCAGTTTTCGAAAAAATCTACCTATTGCATCGCCCAGGAAAGCAAATTTCATCAACGAACTGGCAATACATGCGATTCAGTTTGTGTTTCCGTGTGTCATTTTGATAATAGCTACAATCATACTTCTTTGCAGGTTATATAAGAACCAGCCGTTACTAAAAGAAGTTACAGATTCATGGATAGGCGGATCTAAAGTGAAAAGCACTCGCGTGACAAAAATTACCAAATTTGTTTTGGTGACTCTGATTCTATTTCTTATCAATCAAACACTGTTTACTGTAATTTTCAGTATTTATATGCACGAATTTCTCTCTGATAAAATAATAATTTCAGAGGAAACCGATTCAATCTTTCAAACATTTACGAATTTTGTTAACTGCATAACTTATCAGACTATCTTTTGGATATTTGTTTTCATGAGTGAACGGTTTCGTCGAGCCATTAAGGTTCGATTTAATAACGTCTTATTGAAGAAATGTCCTTCACACTGTGTACCAAGTTGTTGGTGTTGAATAGGTGGTGAACAAATAGTAAGGAAGATATAGAATCATTTTGGCGACAAGATGATATCTTCATAATCTTCACTCCATTTTTTTTTATTTCTCATCTGTTGGACACAGACTTGTGGTGAATATTTTCTAAAATTTTCTTTAATACCATGACTTACATGTTGTAAGAGCATTTCAGACCGATAAAATTATTATTATGAAAGCGTTAATAGAAACTTCTTTTATCTGAAAAATTAATAAAAATTACGAATTTTATGATACAATTTGATTTGACACACATCCTTAACTTTTACGAAGTAATATGTAAAGAAAAATTGCAAATTTGTTGCGCATTAATGAAAAATATAAAACTATAATCCAGAAAACTCAGAGTAGGAATATGAGAAAGCAAAAGCAGCAAATCAGTGTTGTCGGCTTGTGTAGTGATGTGAACAAAGTTAACAAGTTGAGCACAACCTGTGCCGGTAAACGTATCAGCTCGTGACCATGACACAGATGTTTGAAGTTATGCTATGAAGAATGACGTTGTCATTGAATTTTAAGACTTTTTATAAAACTTTATTTCATTAAACTGAAGTTATTTTTATTATTCAATATAGCATTAAAAAGAAATACACAAAAATGAGAATTAAAACTAAGAAAAAATGCTTTATAATTCAAAGACATGGAACCAAACGATGTAGCAGACTTACAGTGTTGCTCATTAGAATATGCAAATCACATAAATAAAACTATTAAATGGTTTGTATTATGATTTTCTTGAGGCTAAAGAGAAGTAGACTCGTTGTCCTGTCGGGCCAGCTCGAGACGCTTGACTTTAATGAGAGCTGAATTGACATTTTTGAAAAATGGAAATAAAATTCTTCTTTGAATTGCTTTGAAGTAGAGAATATCTTTTGTATCGCTCAATTTAAGTACATGTTAACAAAAACTTGAATGTCTGTTTGATATAGAAAGGCAAATCCCATGTATTTAGACCCTAGACTGGCTTTGTCTTCCCGATGTACGGTGGATAAAAACAGAACCAGTGTATCTAGATCCTAGACTGGCCTTGTCTATCTGATATACGATAGATGAAGGCGGAACCACTGTTCCTGGATTCTAGACTGGCCTTTTCTGATGTAAGGTAGAGAAAGTTAGAACAATTGTACTTAGATGCTAGACTGGCCTTGCCTGTCTGATATATGATAGATAAAGGCAGAACCAGTGTACCGAGATTTTAGACTGGCCTTGCCTGTCAGATATAGGTACAATGTATTATAGAGACAGACAGAACAGTGTGCTTAAATCTTAGTCTGGCGCCTTGTCTGTCCGATATACTTGCAACTGAAACAGGCAGAAGCAGTCTACAAACATGTGGATCTTTGATTGGCTTTGTCTTTCTGATGTATGCAGGATAAAGATAATATAAGCTACTTTGAGTACATTTTCAAATTGTGAGATGAACAATATGGAGACTACATTTGCAGACTGATCAAATATCATGATCTCGGCAAATATCACAGAGAAAAAGCGCGGTGTTTGCCGCTATATAAGACAGAAACATACGCTGTACATAACCCGGTGTCTTAATCAGTAAGATCTACAGTAAATGCCATAGCAGTGCGTGAAGACAATGTGAAAGTGTTGCATGATAAATAGCTAACGTACATAAGTTTAAAAACAATTTAATCTTTTTAATTCTATATAAAAACCCATCTTTGAGAAACAATGAAATGGAAAATTAACAAAGAAATTTTCAATTTATGAAATGTGAAGATAAAGGAAAGAAATCATATTCAAAAGTCAAATTAAACAAAAACAATTGCGAACTGAGCAAACACCGGTCTCTGAAAACATCAGAAGGGGGATCAGGTACCATGGAAATCTCATGTCGACCAGCCACACCCACCATGTGCCCCTTATCATATGATCGTGTAAATGGAAAACTCCATAGACAATGCAATATGAAAATATAGTCCGACAATTTATGTGAAAGAAGTCAGTCAAGATTTGACCTTTCCACAAATTGTATTTGAAAGCAAATGTCTACGAAAAATTTTTGAAATGATTACTACTGACGAAATTGTTGATACCTTGTCGATATCAATTCATATGTCAGTAGCCTACCTCGTTTAAGAAATTGTTCGTGCGTAGAACATACTCTTGCATATCAAATTAGCTGGAAGATACAAACCTCATGTGAAGGTGATAATGGTATTAATATTGATACATAAATTAAGGAAGTTGGCTATAGAAAATGAAGTCATCATGTTTATAGTTTAGTGGTTAATTTAATTTGCCATCGATGTCTTTTTCTATCAAAACATTCAACTATAACACAAATGTGGAAGACTCTATCATGTATTTTATTTCGAGTTCAATGTGATATAACGAATCTATATATGAATGAAAAATGAATATTGTTAATTGATAAAATGCTGTCGAATTGCAGACCACGACAAGAAACCTCCTCTTTTCAAGTTTTTTTAAAAATAAATTCTGCTAAGAGTACAGAAAGGGTCTGTTAATGATGGGGCACAATTAGGTCCCATCATCGGAATCTGAACAGATTGTTGGAAGACCTCCGAAGGTCTTACAGACATAGATATTGTCAGAGGATTGATGTCAACCTCAGAATACTTGCGTAAAGAAATAGAATTTTTTTTTTAAATTTAGTTTGTAGATGACCATTGACAAGATTTGAAAATTTGTGGGTTCCATCAATTTTGTAAAAAAGCCGTTGTCTATGATGTCAAAAAATCCCTGGTTTTATTTCATCGCTGGGAATGGTTGTATAAAGTTGAAAAGTTGATGCTATTGATTCTGGCAAATATTAGTAATTTCAAAATTTAATTCTCTGAAAGTTGTTTAGAGCTTTTTAGTATCCACATCTGATTAACACAACTTCTCAAATACTAGTACTTTGTTGGACAGTACTGTAGAAGTTCCTCCTTCACTGCTGTTAATATTTTTGTTAGGAGTAAAAAAAAGGCTTTGTAGAACATTTATTGGATTCCACTCTGTATCTTTGTCTGTAAGGATCTTTATGGGCATATGTTGTTGCTATCTGCTAAACAAACGCAGTATTACTTAGACAATTTCTTGTAGTACTAGCCAGAAAAAACTTTATCTATCTATACAGCTTTATCAACATTACTAAATTGAACCTTATCACTGAAAGGTCATGGAATTAGCTTAACGGAAATGGTAAGGTTGGACAGTAACACTGTTTTATTTATTCTCTTGATTTTCGTGAAAGATTTTAATTTTTTTTTTATAGATTAAGAAAATATCTCATTGTGTTTCGGGTCTTTTGAAGAAAATTATTTAATTGCATTTTTGCAATAATTAAACGAGGAATCATTGATATAAATAACAGAAGGATTGAAGATACACACAACTCTTTGAGAAAAGCGCAATATATTGTCTCGACTCTAGATTGTTTTAAGTGGAAAGAATTCCTTTGTGCATGTTATAAATAAAATGTTTCTGATACTCGATGGCAGAAAGATGGCACGGATTTTAACTGTTTGTGACAAAGCAATTCAAGTTGATTTGTTTTCTTTGTTACGTAACTATAAGTGTTTATTTTCAGCTTGATACAAATAAATTTGGACAGAATATTTCCGCAATAAATCATCTTTTTGTAGAATTCATTATTTGGACGCCATGTGCTGCTCTAAATCAGCAAAATAAATAGTCACAGAACAGGAAATATCAATTAGCTTTCGAGCTTTTTTTTTTTTTTTTTTTTTTTTTTTTTTTTTAAAAAGGGGGGGAAGAAAATTCAACAATTCTTGAATTTTTCAGCTCGAGGGTTTGGTAAAGTTTATCAAACACAAAACTGATTTGTTTTACAAATAAATGTATACATGTTCGACAGTTCGAGCAAAGTAACTTGTTTGTTGGACGGTAGGCTATGTGATACAGTACTGAACAGTAACTCCAAACTGAGTAAGAACGATAACTCCAAACTGAGTAAGCTATGGGAACTCCATTGGTTAGCATTCAGTTCACAACATAGACTGACCTGATTGAGTTGCGAACTCATTTTACTCCACCAAACTACGTTACTCCGCCTAATCTGTATCCAACCCTAAACTTTAATTATTTTATTTTATTTTTTTTTTTTAAATTTTATTATTTTAATCGAAACATACAATTCAATGATAATTTTATTATTATTTTTTTTTTTAATTTTATTATTTTAATCGAAACATACAATTCAATGATACATGTAAGAATAAAATTCTGTTTGCTTGGTATAATCAGACAAGGAATGCAATCAACGTGAATACTTTTAAATTATATCCTTATAGAATTTATCATTATTTCCAAGCTTTATTTTTGAAGTTTGGTTAAAATGATAATGTTAATAAATGGAATAATGCATGTGCAAATGCACGTGTAAGATCAACAATAACAAAGTGGAGAAATGAATTCCCATCTAACAGTCGGCGATTATCCTTGCAAAGTCCTCGGCCTGTCGTACCCTACAATCCATTATAACTTACTCGCCATACCAATGCTTGAACTATGCTAACGAGTTCAGCCAAAGAAGGACAATGCATGTATATGAAAAAAATCTATACTTAAAAGTCTTGAAGAGTTGTATTATTAAATAATATATTAAGATTTATCATTTGGATCTAGAGAAAATGATATAACTTGGTTAGAAATTTTTAACATATAATCCTCCAGCGCGTATGCTGTATGTGTAACAACGATCTGTTCATAACTTTTTTATAGTTTGATGTGGAAATAAAACTTAAAAGAGATGATGAATTTTTGAATTCAATGTTTTGTTACTTGCCTAGATTCTGTCAACAGTATTTACAGTGTTATTCTTTGCCTATCTGGAGCCATGTGCAGGTAAGTAAATTAAACTTACACTTGATTTTAGAATTATATTAAATCTACATTTAGCAGGGTTAAGTCTAAGAAATGTGCGAGTATCAAAGAGTATCAACCGAATTATGAAGTGCACAGACGTTCACAGATTATATTTAGTTTCAATGTGAAAATAAATCACGCCATTACCTGGTGTGATGCCTGGGAGGGGTGGATGTGTGGGGGGGGGGGGGGGGGTCTGATTCGAAAACGTACCGGTTGAAGCAATTCTTGATTAACATTAATTCATTTATTTCTGATGAATAAATTGCATAGATTGCTTATGCATAGGAACAATAGTTAGAAGCTATGTCTTTTACATGTACTTTGTATTCAAAAGCTAGTTACGTTGATATACATGATTGTATAGTGTATTATTTGGTATGGACTTAAAATAAAAATGTGGGGGAACTATTACCTAAAGTACTTACCAATTATGTATGTTTTTATTCGTAATTCATTAGTGTTTTCTATTCCAGGAATTCTAGCCGTCTGCAAAAAGAATTCTCAGTTCTTATGTAACGATGAACAGCCGACATTCCTCGTGGGCGCCAATCAGGCGTGGTTTAACTATGTCACAGGAGACTTCGGAAACCGTCTATATTTTACCATCTCTATGATTCCTCTTAAAGCCTACCTCACTGGACTTAAGGCGGCTGGTGGAAATTCCATAAGTTTGTTATACTAATTTTTGATTAGTTACTTTGTAAAAGATTTTAGCGAAAATATAATTCATTTACACAGAAAATCATAAAGGTTAATTAATTTCAATCGGCATCTTTTCAGAGAAGAAATATTAGTAGTTTTGCCACTGTTTTAGGGTTGTTCCTCCATATTGAGGGACAGGGAACCCCTCTCTTTGGACCTGGGGGTATCGTTACAGGGACGGACCTCCAGCAGTCGTTGATACCAGAACTGATGGAATACTTGAAATTTGCTCACATGAACCAAATTTTTGTGTTTATTTGTCTGTGGAACGGGGCTTTTGTGACCCCCGTCATTAACGAGAGGCTCCATGGCTTGATTAAAGATGAAGTAAAATTACAAAGCTACATAACAACAGCCCTTACACCGATAGTGAGATTTACTTTAGAATTACTTTGCAAAAGTGTTCAAAAATAGTGTTAAAATCGTATCGTCAAAAATATTCACAATTTATTAATGTTGTTTTCACAAAACATATATTATCTAAGAAATAGCTTAAATTTTTAAACTATGATGTTATGAATTTTAGTATGATATTTATTATATATATATATATATATATATATATATATATATATATATATATATATATATATATATATATATATATATATATATATATATATATATATATATATATATATATATATATATATATATATATATATATATAAATATATATATATTATATATATATATAAAATTATATATATATATATAAAATTATAAATATATCAATTATTTGTAATAACTGTTAGGTGACGGCCGTAATGAACGAGCCCGCTTTGGCGGGGTGGGACATCATCAATCAGCCCGAGGGGGTGATGAAAAGGAATGTGACGGATAAGAACCCTTGCTGGGACAACACGTTTTTGGAGCTGAAGGCTTCGGGTAGAGCTATCGGTTGGGCCAAAGAACTGTACACGCCTAAGGAAATTCAAAGGTACATGTGTACTTTTATTCTTCATCGCAAATTGCATGATTTTACTTAACAACAATTTTATTGAAAAGGCAGTCAAAAACACCTGTCTGAACAACAATTTGAAAAAGAATTCAGAACATAAATATCCTATTTCGTTTAGATTTATCAATCTTCAAGCTTCTGCAATTCGTAAACTTTACAAAGCACAACAAAAGGAGCCCTTAATTACTGCCAGTTCTTTCAACATTATCACAAACACCTTCCAATGGAACTGTAAAAACCTATACCACGACTTCTGCTTGAATATATCGGGGGGTGCCGATGACGTAAGTTAGTCTAGAATTGAGCATTTTTTGCTATCTTTCAGACTTTAAATTGGCATGTTCATAAGTCGGAATCATGAAAAAAATTCCAGTATGCTCGGTTACATGAATCTCTCATGTATTCTCCGAGAAATTGGCACGGAAAGAACAAGGTTCACTTGGGGCCTTTTTTGGCCCTGTGAATTTCAGAAAAACTGAAACTGCTTGGTTTTAGTCGACAATGCATTAAATATCATATATTTACATTCAACATGTATTTTGCTTAGAAAGTGTAAGGAAAGCTACGGCATTCAAAACACCATAACACGGACAAGGGGTCAAAAGGTTAAAGTATGCGTTTTATTTTGACATCACAAACGTTGAACGCCGTGTAAGTGCAACGTCTTAAACGAAAATCAAAATTCACGCTCATATTGAACAGAAGCTGTTGCAACGGCTCTTCCATTAATTATAACTTACCCGAAGGATAATACAGGGATTTTGAAATATAAATCACATTTGCAGTCAAACCAGGGAGTTAAAAAATGTAAATATAAGCATTAAATCATGATTTTTTGAAAGATATTGTCTCATAACTGCAACGGTGTGTGCAAACAAATTTTCACAACGCGCTAACGCGCGTTACTCAATTTGTTTGCACACACCGTTGCAGTTATGAGACTATATCTTTCAAAAAATAATGATTCAATGCTTAAGGGAGCCGACTGGGGTTTTATTGTGTGAAAACTACTATAGAGAAACTCTTTAATTTTATACCCTATATACCTTACATTGACTTCAGTATACATGCCAAGTTTAGTGAAAATCTACCGTCTGGTTATTTTTCAGGGACCGTCTCAAAATACAGGTATATTTACTATAGGATTATATAGGAAAATACCATTTTTTCGCACTTCGGAGCAAATTATACAAATACTACTATAGACTTTTTGCTCAAATTTTATTATTTGTTGAGTAATACTATATTCTACATTTTGTGCAAGAAACACAAAATTCTACCGTCTGGTTTCCAGAGGGGGCATCTCAAAATGTCAAAATTCATGATATTTTCCTGTTTTTATGGAGTACAACAAAATATGACAGATACCACAGATTTACATAAAAAATAATAACATTGATTGCTATATTCTCAATTTCCTATGTTTAAAATTTCAAGAGCATATATTTTATACTTTTTATTTTATGGCATAATTAATGACCCCGCTTAAAGAACTTCGGTTATTCATAACGTCAAAAACACACTATTACGACGTCTATCTACCCATCATTTTAAAAATCGTTAAAAAAATCAGTTTTTTAAAAACGTAATTAGATTTTTTGACCTCATATTTCCTAAATTTGTTATTTTTTATAAATTATGTAAAAATAGTTGCTTTAAAAGAGTAAATACGCTTTATTTTACTATGCTGCGCGAAGTATTGCGCAATGAAAACCCCAGTCGGCCCCCTTAATTAGACCTTTGGTGACTGCGTATCTATCAAAAATGACGTAATATTCTGGCTAGTCAATGCATTATGACGTCATGAAACGCGTCATTTTCCTCATATCCTGAAAAATTCTACAAAAACAGCCAATTTTTAAAGCTATTTTTCGATATTTAATATAGAGCGCAACCTCTGATCAAAAATATGCAACTATTAAATGATGGAACTATTTCTGAGGATTACAAAACATGTTTTATTTTTTAGATCAGAGGGTGCGCTCATATTATTTCTCTTCTGTGAAAGTACTCAAATATACTTGTTTTCCTTAAAATTCAAGAACATTGCAATTCCATGAAGCCTGTTTTCCAAGATCTTGGTTTTAAGGAGAAAATTTTTAATAGGAAATGAAAGCACCAAGTCTCTACTTTAACTTGATGTTTAAAATGGAACATAAAGTGTTAGTCAATAAATTGGTATATCTACAAGGCCATTTTATGCATAAAGTGAAACTAGCTCTTTATTAACGTGGGAAAATATACTAAAATTTACGTCATTCCTACTTGAAGATTGAGTGTTGGATGTCTATTCCCACTACTGAAATTATCTGTTATGTATTACTAATCAGAATTGAGCAAAACTTGTCATTTAGAAAAGAACTCAGAAATAAAGAAATCGCAAAGAGAAAAGTGAAAACTTACCTTTTTTCTGAATACGAGAGTTTTCCATAAAGTTCGTGGACAAAAGCTATAATTTTCTAAATAAAGTCCGCACCGGCAAACGTGTAATATTTTGATATTGACTATGATTCAGTAAATATATAAAAATTAAAACAATACACACTATATTATGCATGTTATAGGTATAAATACTTTGTATATGCAAACCGCACAGCCCAGTCTGACGTAAAGCTAATTTCATGAAGTCAAAAAATAAGGATTTCGAATTTTTAACACATGTTCATGGACACACGCTACATCTTCATTAATATGCAACGCTGCCAAGTGTGTCCAATAATATTTATGTATAAACCATTTTTAAAATTCAAATCAATACATGACATTTACAAGCGTCATCCATATAAACAGTTCGTATACAGCGACTGTACGGAAGCGTATTAGTGCCACTTGGTCACTTTTTTATTTTTCATTTTCCACACTTTAATCTGTAAATTTACACTTTAATCTGTAAAATTTACACTCTAATCTGTAAATTTTACACATTAATCTGTAAAATTTACACTTTAATCTGTAAAATTTACACAGTAAAGTGTAAAATTTACACTTTAATCTGTATAATTTACACTTTTATCTGTTTAATTCACAAAATCAATTTGGCAACTCCATACATCTTAAGTAACACGCTATAAAGCCAACAGACCATGATAAAATTTAATTTTGATTTCTTGTTAACAATAAATGTGGACAATAATTACTTATCAGATATTATATGTATGGATATAAAACAAATAATAAGCAATCTAGTAAGACTGATATAAGTGAGACTTTCATAGAATATTTGAAAGAATTATGAATTCCGTGAAAGTGAAGATCGAGAGCAAATCAAACACACATATGTGACGGTACATATTGTCGTTTTGTACATATTGTCGTCGGCGACAATATGTACCTAACCTCACTGCACATATTGTCGCCCATCGGTACATATTGTCGCCGGCGACAATATGTACCGAGACGAGCCTTATTTTCCTCCTGCATAATGGACGACAAAATGTACAGTCAAGTACCAGCACATATTGTCGTCGGCAACAATATGTACAGTCAAGGTCGGCATATATTGTCGTCGATATATTGTTTTGACGAATATTTACTTGAGAAAAGAAAGAGAGATTGACAAACACACACACGCACGGAGGGAGACAGACATCATTACTTGCAATACTGTAGAGAGAAAACTTTTTGGACAGAAAATTGTGTCCAGGATTGATGTACATCACTATGGCATATCAAGATACCGTAATTCTTGAGATATCTGATAAATCAGCTAATCTTTTTTTTCTTGTAATCTTTACTTGGAGATTGATTACAGGTATTTTTTTTTTTTGTTCAGTAGTAATGATTATTTGGAAATTATTTTCGCGTTATTCTTATATACGATCGTGTGCCGATATAATATTATAAATATAATTTATTAATAATAATAATAATATAAGAATAACGCAAAAATTAACATTTTTTAGATCACCTGAACTGGAAGTTCAAGTGAGCTTTACGGATCACATTTTGTCTGACCGTCCGTCTGTCTGTAAACTACTGGGTCAATTTCAACCAAACTTGCCACAGTTGCATCCGTGGATAAAGGGGATTTAAGTTTATTCAAATGAAGGGCCATGCCCTCTTTAACGAGAAATAGTTAAGAATAAGTGAAAATTTAGTGACTTCTAAAAATCTTCTCAACAACCACTGTGTCAGAAAAGTTTAAACTGGTGTGAAAGCTTCATAAAAGGTGTAGATTCATTTTTATTCAGATTATGTCCCTCGGGCGATAGGTGTGGCTACAATAGGTGATTTAAGTTTTTCATAGAATATTTAGAAAAAAAAATCTTTCAAAATCTTCTTTTCAAGAACTACTGGGTCAGAAGAGATGATACTTATGCGAAAGCTTCATAGCGTACGTTCAATTTTGAGGTGCTGGCACAAAAAAGATCCCTCACTGTTCAATGATCCTGAGTGCCAAGTATACGGTCTAAATTTGCAGCCCTCCACCGGTAAGTGGTGACCTCTCAATATGAATGAAAAATTCTCGAGAGGGACATTTTAACAACAACAAAAAAAAAAAATCAATTTTGTTCAAATCATGACCCCAAGGGTAATGTGGGGCCACAATGGGTGATAAAAGTTTTACATAGGAATATATACAGAAATCTTTAAAAATCTTCTCAAACACCAAAGACAGATGTAGCCCCCCACCCCCCTTTCGCTAGGTGATTTGTTTGTTTGTTTGTTTGTGTGTTTTTTTTTTTTTTGGAAAATTCTGCTTGTTTAACTTGTATACACTTAGTCCACAGGTAAAAATTTCATACTTAAATAATTAACTTAACATATACAATAACACTGAGGGACGACAATATGCGCAGTGAGGGAAGGTACACATTGTCGCCGGCGACGATATGAACAGGACGACAAAATGTACCGTCACAATCACGCTGCATGAAATAGCATACGAGACACATCCGTGTGATTCTCACACCAATTACATTCACAAAACTACCAAAAAAACAACAAAAGACATCTTTAAACGACAATATCTGTGGGGCGACAATATGTACAGTGAGGGTTAGGCACATAATGTCGCCAGCGACAATATGTACATATGTAACTTTTCAGTCGGCGACAATATGTACCGATGAACGACAATATGTACAGTGAGGGTAGGTACATATTGTCGCCGACGACAATATGTACAAAACGACAATATGTACCGTCACACACATATCTTCTCATTGATCAACGAATATGATATTGATATCATTATACGCAAATCATTTGATGCGCTCAGCAGTTCAATTATTGATAGCATAAATTGATTTACATTCTACATGTATTACCGGCAACAATTGAATTACTTATTGAAATGAAATTTTTTAAATAACCAATTAATATATTAATTATGAAAGTATATACATGTATAAATCATTAGAGTATGTGAGTTTATATTAATTTGGAACATATTCTCATCAAATAAAAGTGGTTTTCCACTTCTTGTAGTGTCTCCAAAATTGTACATACAGTTGAAAAATCGTATATTTCAATCTCAAATCAATGAAGTAAAGCTTTACCGGACGAGTTTTCTTGCCATGAATTACAAGATTGAAAAAGACAGCCCCCCTCCCTACACAAACACACACATTTCAGTTTGCTTTGAATTAATACAGCCTGCCCAAAGTTTTGCATATTAAAAAAAAAAAATAAATAAATAAAAAGAAAACACACCTAAATAACAATATTTTTAAGTATCTTTAAATCGCTTAAATCTTTTACTTTCTAATTGTTTGATTTTAATGGCGTTTAGAAAATTATTGCAGATTTCCTCTAAAATAAGAGATATCTTGACCACAAAACGACCTATTTTCAATGTATGGGACTGAAAGAAATCCATGAAAATTGGAAAGCGTCTTGACTAAAGATTGAAATTTCACATGTGATCATTATTCATGTGTAAATAATTTTAAAATTCGGACAATTGACAAAATTAGACCCAATCCAAAGCAAGGTAGAAATCGTGAGATGCTCAGACCGTGAATAGACTTATTATTACCTACATGTAGAACGTCTTAAAAATTGTAATCTTTTCAGATAATTTGTAAATGCTTAATTTTAGCTGATAACGTTTAAATTTTATTACTTACCTCTATTTAAATTCATGTGAGCATTATTTATTTGGATAAACTATATGTTTAAAAGTAGGCTTTTTGTGTATTGCAAGTAAAGTTACGTCAAACTGCATGATGACATTTTTTCACTTTTCTCTGTTATTTTTCTCAGTAGCGTGTACATATGTACTTATATTATTTAAAGTGTTAAAAGTTGAATCTAACCAGTAGAAGGTTTTGATGTAGGAGTAGCTCATTTTCACCTTTGTATCCCAAGTGGCTCGATGGCCAAATCACTTAGGAAAATGAGATTAAGGAAAATCTTTAAAAATCAATTGAGGGCCAGACTAATTTAAGTTAGCGCTCTAAAACTTCTTGGATGCTGTCAGAGTAAGCTGCTGTGAAATAAAATCAAAAAACGCTATGGTTTTATACATCTACTTCTGTAAAAATTGTTTACAAATTTTACGAATACTGCCTAGTGGTTACTTTTTTTTAAAATACAAAGTACCATAAAATATTTGAAATGAATAGAATTTATTTTCACACAGGTTGAATATTAAAGACACGTGTCCTCGGGAGGGCCACGCCATCCCAATTTATTTAAACAATCTTTAACTGTTGCAATTGCTAACTGAAAGACCGCCCCTCTTTTCCCCCACACTTTTTGTTGCAGTATAGTCATGTCCTCTCCAAATAAATGTGTATTTCGAAAAAGTAAAACAAAAAATTTCCTCTCCCCTTCCCTTCTATGAAATAAGATTTTCGAGTTTAGACACCATCTTTTTTTTCCGAGTCAAAGATTGTTCAGGTAAGTTGTAAGTTGTATTTGTTTTTTACTACCCACCCCTCCCCTTAAAAACGATTCTTCCGCCTGTAATAGCCGAGAAAAAAATGTTACATTCCACTCTTTATTCTGTGACATTAATGAAGCCAAAGAGATGACAGTTCAGGATTTTTGGAAAGCCAAACTTGTAATAATCTTAAGCTTTGATTTTTGAGTATGCCTGAGCATATTGGCTTGTGCCCTTGGGCCCAGTGCGCTGTGCAGAATCAATGTCGCGGGGGAATTCTGGGAGGTACAGGTCTGGTTTCGTCAACTACAACTTTTTTGGGCTTTTCGGATCAGCTTAACCGAGCTTGCTGGACAAATTAGATTGCAATTATTGTGATTAAGTAGTGAATTTCTCGCTTTTACTCGGCTATGTTTTGTCGCTTCCATAACCGCTGCCTTAGACTGCAGTCCGCTGAATTTCTTGAATTATTAAACTTTACATGCAGTCATCTCTTCAAACAACGACGTCATTTAAGATATGCGTGTAAAATAGTTTTAGTCTTTTTCAGGGCTATTTGAGTTTTTGGACTACACATTCCTTCGATATCAAAAGCGAAGGGCGGTATGACGATTGGGCACCATTCAATGTAAATATGACTCATTAACTTTATTAGTTTTACAATGTAGAATATGAAATTAAAATTGTACATGCTGTTGTACTCGTGTGTACATCTTTCTCAATACCTCTGTTCATTAATTTGCAGCACTATTACACGGAATATCATATGGGTGGGGATAATCTACCACCCAGACCATTGGTCATTGCAGGATTTAATGAGGTGCGAGGGCGCCCCCACTCCAAATGGGATATCGTAAAACAATTTAACCATCTTTATTCTAATGGCTATTCGGGCAAGTCATTGTTTTTGTGGGTAATTTTAATATATTCCGTCATGTGCCATAGGGAAAATGAATAGTAATTACATTCATGAATATATAATTGGAGGTTTTTTTTCATGCCTAAATCTAAGCTTAATTACTTGAGCAATCCAAAAGTATGTATTTGGATAAAATATACTATTTATATCATTTATACATGCATATGATATTCGAGGTTTCTTTCACAGGTGGATGGACGTGGCAAATGAACGCACAGGGACCAGACACGGATGACTGGATAACACAGGCGAAAGGGATAAGTTCCCTGAGAGGGAAATTCGGGATTTCTGTGGGAAGCTTTGGTGCTCTCAGTAGTCCCCTAGGATCGTTAATTCCTAAAGATATTAATATTACAGCTAATCCCATTGGAAAATAAAGTTAAATAAATGCATATTTCTCTTATCATAATATATCAGGCAATCATGAAAAAAAAACTGGTTCAATAAAATATGAAATTTGAAGTATTTAAAGCCTAGTTGTTACGTTCAAATATTATTCGAAGTCGACACCGTTTAATACACCCCCCCCCCCCCCCCCCCATTTTCAATACCTGCAGTGGAATTCCTTTGTTTATACATGTGCTTATTATTCAAGGTTTTGCCAAAAAGGTTCACTTGAATGCAGTGCATGGATGATAGGAATTCGACATTGATATGTCCTCTTACACTCCAACATGTTTATGTTCTTCTCATCCTACAAGTATAGTCCTGCTGGACACATGAATATACATGTAGTCAATAATAAGGACCTTAAATTATTTTAAAAGGTCCAACGATATTTCAGCTGGCGTCATATTTCGGAATTATTATGAATTCTGTCGAAGATTACGCCAGGCGATAGGCCAAACATAAAAAAAAGAAGACCTTGACACTTTTTTATTTGAATTCCACAGTGCTATAATACGAACATAAAAATATGAAATTAACACAATCTTTTCATTGTAGTATTCATTTTTGTGAGAGACAGAGAGAGAGAGAGGAAAAGAGAGAGAGGGAGAGACAGAGGATGAGTTAAAAGAGAATGTGGATGACAGATAAATAGAGGAGGTAGCAAAACTAGTTTAAAGACAGGGTTTATTCATGTTAGTCTGAAAGTATGGAGTGCCATTCTGTCGAAGATTACGCCAGGCGATGGGCCAAACATAAAAAAAGACCTTGACACTTTGTCAGAATCGATTAAAAGTGTCAGATGGATGTTCAAATCTCACATTAAATGGTTGAGAGGCAATATCAAAACCATCTGTACTCTTATTCAGAAACGAAAAAAGAATTAGATTACACAATATTCAATATTTACTGATCCCAGTTGACAAAGCAGGTAAAATATTGTCTTTGTAAGGCTCATTACTTTGTATTTAAGAGGAACTTGGATTTAATTCAATAAGCTGTAATCCAACTTGTACTCAAAGTTGCCTTTCAAAGGAGGATATTCTTAAAAATCATATGTTCGTTTTGAATATTAGTAATACTCAGTATTCCTAATAATCAAATTGAAATTGAATTAGAATTACCATACCTATACTGGATTCTTAAACTACATAAAAATCCGTACAAAGATATAAGCTAGTTCTAGTAAATGTAACATCAAGCCTCTTTCTTCAATCATCACAAAAATATAAACAGCAGTGAAGGAGCAACATAAGGAGTACTGTACGACAACATTTTCAAGAAGTGGTGTTAATCTGATGTGGATATCATAAACTCCAAGGAACTTTAAGTGAATTTAAAAATCACAGAATTTTACCAAAATCAATAACATCAAACGTACGATTTTTCAACACTTTAAATAACCATTCCCTACGATAAACTTCTTTTTGACGTCACAGACAACTGCTTTTTCAATAAAAAAGGAACTCGTAAAATTACCTACCTCGTCATTGGTCACCTGCAAAATTATTTTGATAAAAACATTCCTATTGTACATACAAGCACTCCAAAGTTATTACTAAAAAGATGCTTGATTTTCTGCATGATTGACAATATCTAGGTGGTTTTCGTATATCTATGTGGTTCCAACTCCCATGGGTCTAATTGCTCCCCGTTATTAATTGACCTTTTTTGTAATCATATAAAGCAGAATTTATTCAAAAACTTCTACATGAAAAGAAGTCTCTTGATGTGGCCTTCAACTCGACTTTTAGATAGATCGACGATGTTTTATCAATAAATAATAATAATTTCATTCCGACGTTCATTCGATATGTCCCTCTGAACTCGAAATAAAAGACATGACAGAGTCTGACACATCTGTTTCATGTTTGGATATTTTACTAGAGAATGGCGTTATTGGCAAACTAACAACAAAACTATGATGTTCCTAATGACTTCGACTTTTCTTTCGTTTACTTCCTCTATTTATATAGCAATATACCATCATCATCTACATATAGAGTTTATGTTTCCAAGTTGATTCGATACACAAGAGCAAGCTCTACGTGCGTGTGACAACTTCTGAAAATAAGGCAAGCTATTGACAGATAAGTGGATGATACAAGGATATCAACTGTCTCGTTTCCAGTAATGTTTTAGCAAATTCTATGCACTGTTACAATGAACTTATTGGCAAATACAATCTACCGTGAAGTCGAATGTTGGCTGACACTTTTGCATACAAATTGTTAGGTAATTATTTTCTCACTAAATTGTCTACGGTTTTTCCCGTTTTGCCCGATCATGACAAGGAGCACACGGCGGATGTGACCGGTCGACAGAGGATGCTTACCCCCCCCCCCCGGCATCTGAATCCACCCCTGGTGTTTTTATAGGTCTTTATAGGTACTTTTATATGTTTGCTCTGCTCCCAGTTGCAATCTATATTGTTCCAGTGGACTTTTGAGCTTGATTACTGTTCGCTGTCTTCATATTTCATGGTAGAAATAAAGGAAAATTACAGTCAAAATAAATTTTAAGAACAAATCTAACTTGTAGCTTCTCCATGATAGTTCATAGTTTCTTTACCTGTGATACTATATTTCTAATACTTTCTTTGATTGTGAAATAGTTGACCACTGGTGGCTAAACGTGGAATTATTACATAAGCTTTATCAAATATACGGTTAAGAGATCAAACAGTCACGATTAAGTCAAACATTCCTACAACGTACTCCACTCAGATATACTCAAAATGCTTCTTTGTCTGTTTGTTTTTCTGTGCTTGTTTACAGGTAATATCAGGGTTTTCCGGCTTAAATTTGTTGTGATCACTTGCATTTAATTTTAATTTTTCAAGAGTATGTATACAGTTATGAAACAGTGATTGGTAAAATTCATGAAATGCTATTCTTAAATGTATGATATATTGAAAATCTGATCAGTCATTCTATTTCAGAAGTTGCGCCTTTGGTTTGATTTGAATATTACATCACATTCATATTTAGACCATGTTGGTTCTCTACTATTGTAGAATGAAATTAAAATTAAAATGTTTTCAAATATTCGCTGATTGACGAAACATTTTTAACAGAGTATATCTTATTATGATGTCGTTAATGAAAAAAGTTAGTATGTATGGATGAGGCTAGCATCTTTGCATGTTCACTTGTTTTTTTACTGCTGTGTTTTATGGAGGTTTGTAGGGATATTTATTAGATTTCATTAACTTTTTTTATTTTGGTTTTGACAGATTCTCTCTGTGATTCTAATGAAAATCCTTGTCAAAATCATACATGCCAACGCAGCCAGAAAGCCGTCTGGAATATATTTAAAGGATCATGCGACTGTAAATTAATTTTTTTTTCTCTCTCTCTTTCTCTCATACATGGAAAGAGTGTAACTTCATAGCAAATAATACGTCTCTCGATAGCTATTTTTGCTACGGCACGAATGCTATGACATGCAATTTCAACAAATTATAAATGAACAAATCTAAAGTATTTAAGGAATGTATTTCCCTTCAAAGGCTTTTGCACAGGAAACAGAGGTTGTAGTTACCTAGGATGTCCACATCCATACTGCACGCAGTTCTTTGGTATCTTTTCTACCTGTCACTGTGGAGGTAGGTCGTTTATGTAATATCTTAAAGGGCTTTATGAGTATAATGTGAGCTGATCCCTCAAAAATTTTATAATACGTTTTAGTTTTTGTCGAAAACTGTATCTGTTATGTCAAATATTGGATGTAAGGCTATATAGAATAACTAGAAAAACATGTGATGTTCTTGCATGTGCTGTAAAAACCTCAAAAATTGCATATTTATACATGTAACAAAGTGATTGTTAAATCATATAATTACTAGTATATGCCTTCATTATTTTGAAGAATGTACTACTGACAGACACTGCAAATGTGGAGCAGGCGAGACAGCAAAATGTAACATAAACTACCGACATCATCCCACCCACTACTGCGAATGTCAAAGTAAGTAAAAACCAAACCACTGCTCTAAGTACAAACATCATCAAAATACCACTGTCAGTGGAATTGTTACCATAGTTTTAGATCTGCAGCTTGGTCTAGAACAAAAAAATTGAATGGACGACCTGAGAGCTAATGTTCCTTGCATGAAACAAATGTGTACTGCAGCAACTACAATCAACAACCACAAAAATGTCCCTAGTTTAAACTAATATTTTAGGTGGGGTTACAATTCGTTCCATTACTCTCTTGTGGTTCATCGCAATGTTTTCAGACCAACAAAGTCTGCAGTTATTGTAACCAAAGATATTACTACCATACGTAACAATCAATTTTACATGCACTGAGTACACACACTACACACACTATACAACCACTACTATCACGGTAAGTGTATCACTACGAAGATGATAAATATTTCTGTCAATGTCAAGTAACACACAGTAAAACGCTACTGTCACTTAATGTTACTACAGAGATTAAATACTGCTGTCAGCGTACACACTATCACACAACTTCTGTCACTTTCATTGTTGGTATACACATAAAAAACATCACTGCCAGTGTGTGTACACATTTACAACTACTACTGCCTCTTTCAGTGTGTGAGTAATCAAAAATCACACAAGTACACTACTGCCATTGACAATCAAATTATACCATAACAACAACAGTTGTCATTTTCAGTGCAAATAATCCCTAAAAAAAACATAGAGGGCCACTACTACCCTTATTAGTGTACACGAAGATATCACAACTGCAGTAAAACACGCTTATAGCTAACACGCTTATAATTGACACTTACAGCGAAATGATTTTCATTTCCAATGCTTTTAGAAGATATTGTGAATTTAACAGAAATAACAAATTACGTTAATAACAAAGCAACATCGTGCGTTCTCCGACATTTGTTATAAGCGTGTTTACTGTACTTTCAAATATACTCATCATAAGAATAGCTATTACTGTCAGTGTAAATATAGACACTGCTGTCATTATGCAATATCAAAGTCACTTCTGTCTG